ACTATAAAAGAAGGGTGCCTTCACAGTATTTATTGTGGTGAATAAATCCTTCTCCACCGGCAATTCAAATCCTTGGTGCAGCTAACGTAAGTTTGGGATTCTTAGCCACAAAGCTAAGCAGTGTAAACAATATGGCAGTAAATATTCATTTTCTGTGGGATTATGCCTAAATATTTTCTGCTGCTTGGCACTGTAGTCACAAACTGTTTCTAAGGGGGAAAAAAAGCCACACAGATATTGTAAGGGAGAGAAAATAAGAGTTGCCACATAAAGTCACTTGCATCCAATAACATTTCAATTTCCATATGGAAATAAAGGGAAATAAGATGTGCTGAGTGTTAAGCACCAAGGCAACAAAAACACATTAAGATTTCATCACACAAGAACTTGGCTGTAAAATCCGTAATTTTCTTGATCTTTTTTAAGAGTTCTCATTTTCAGGAACATCAGATAGCTAACAGACCATGTATTTTACCAACCAGCTAGAGCAGATATTTGCATTAATCTGCTTCTGTTAATTAAGTGGTGGAAATGCATCTACCCTCCACCAAAAGTCCTTTCTACCATCAGATTCCTCATCAATTTCTACCTTTTTACACCCCATTTCAGAAGAGTTATTTTCCACGTGATTTCCAAGCATAAATACCTAGGACTTGCTGTATCTTAGCTCTGAATTCAGTTCTCCACAAGACTATTTTTGCATGTACTGTCCATCTCATTTTTCTGCAAAGAAAGAATTACTATTATCTTATAACACATCCAGAAGTCAAATGTATAAACTTCATAATGATGATTTCTGAGAGAATCGAATTCCAAATGCAAAGAGAAGTAAGTTTTCAGAATTAAAAGCCAGTCATCATCTAAAACAGAAGCGTTAATAGTAAAAGCAGGGGTAGAAAAGAGAATCACCAAGAATTAAAAACAGCGTTAATCTTTTCTTCTACCTAGGAACACCATGAGACATGGCAAAACAGAACCTTTCCAGTTAAGAGGAAAAGCAACCTTTTTACTCTCCTCATCTGCAAATGGACAGGAGCTGTCACAAAGGCTTTCACCCCCAAATTCTATGGGGGGGGGGGTGGAAAATTACTTTCAAGTACTAACCGTTAAAAACAAATGAAAATTGGTATTCACTATAGCATTAATCATCTGCTTGCAATCCTCATATAGCAACAAACATTTTTTCCACTTCACACATTGAAAAGCTTGCACAGCTTCTGGCATTTGAAGACAAAGTTGCTATAAGCTTTTTTCTAGGAAAAAAATGACTTGTGTTTGAAAGGCAGACAGGGAAATAAACCCATACTAGCCGCATTTGCAATTAAATACTTGTCAAGCAGAGTTCCAGGAGAACTATGGCTACATTTTCTAATACAGTATTAGTATGATTTTAGGTATTTTTCCATCTTTGAGAACATTTAGGTTTTGTAACTGTTAAGTATTAACAGATTATCTAGATTCTTCACAAGACTCAATTTATAATCAAAGTTAAAACATCAACTTGGAACCATAAGTCTTGGCGAGTTACATTACATTCACATGTGTGTAAATGCATATATGCTTGAAAAAGAAATTAAGCAGGTTTACGAGTCCTGCCCTGAACAGCGACGTCAAGACTATTGAGATATCTCCCACAGATAATAAAGTTAACAGGAAGAAGAAGAAAAAAAATGTACACTGTTACTAAAGGAAAAAAAAGAATCTTGGGAAGCATTTTATTGTATAAGTAGTACCAACTCTTAAGTGCTTTATTGCTCTGCCTGTGCAGTAAAGTGATTAGAGTTTAACCACAATCATGGGCTGTTTGTAGAGAACATGCCAGCAGAGACAATTTCAAACTTTACTTCCAAACCTTTGACAGGATTTTCCAAGTGCTACCAAGTAAAAAAAAAAAAAAAAAAAAAAAAAAGGAAGGATGGTCAGAAGTGTTAAGTACTAGTGAAATGAAGTAAACCATGCCCTCCTCCATTCCCACAGGACATCCAACCTTCCAGTTTCTGAAGCTGCAGTTTTACAGTTTCAGGAGTTGCATCCATTCTTGAAAAATAAAATATGTTTTCTCCTAATGATTGGGATGAGGTAGGGGGAAAATAAAATAAAATCAAAGAGTAGAAATTTATCCAGAGTGAAAATACTATGTCAACTATAAAGACATTTTTGACATACATGTCATTTCCTTTGGGTTTCCTTTTGCGTAAGTGATTTTTAACATGAATTGTGCTTAAGTAAGTTTTACCATTTGTAGTGAGTTTGTCTCCAGTAAGAAACACTGCTAGAGAACTACTGCAATGACAACCTTGCAGGTACCAAAATCACAGTGAGTAACTGAGAGGGGAGAAAAAGATGGTTTGGAAGAAGCAGAGTTTAATAAAATCATCCATGAGCTATAGCATCTACAACTGAGTATTCCGATGCAAGGCAATCTAATGTTTTGGTAACTCCTACATCTTAAATTACATAGGTGGATATCTATGTTTAGATACTACACGTTCATCTCATTCTCTTAAATTGATATAAATGAGTGCAAACCTATATCAAATTTTATTCACGTATGTACACAGTAATAAATAAAGTGTAATAACATGACACACATTCACTTTTTCCAAATCTCAGTCAAAAAGCGGAGATATTTCCACTTTCTCACCATAAAACCTGAATTCTTGGGAAGTTGATATGCATTTGAAGTGCACTCACCACATTTCAAATAGTGGTTTATATACAGTAAAGAAAATCACCTTCAAGCTAAAGACCACTTCCACAGCCACCATGTAGAACAAAAATATTTTCCCCTCTTTAAAGAGCTCAGGTAATTGCTGGCTATGTAAACAGTTGTGGAAAACGACTGCATACAAAACATTAAAAATAAATAAATGAAATTAGAAGAATAATACCCACTCCACACATGCTACAAAGGGCTGGAGACTGTACAATACAGAAGAGAAAATGTCCCGAACTCCAGGATTTCTTCGGTGGTGGCCAATATACTTAAATAAACTGGACAGACTTTTTCTCAGGCTGAAGAATCCAAAGAAGACTTTTTCTGACTATGATGTTAGAAAAAGTTCATCAGATATGATTAACCTACACAAGTCACAGTGAAGATATACTAAGAACCAAAATGCGCCTATTTCATGCTGGAAACTTAACAGTTGAGTATAAGAAGCAAAAGCTTACTGTAATTCTGTTAATTTTTATACCTCCAATAGGACAGCAGACACTTATTCTAAATATGAGGGTAGAAAATGGTTTAATAGTTACTAAATACTGGATTAATTCATCTTTAATAGTGGAATAACCACTAAAACAAAGTGACCAATGTAAGCTGTCCCAAAATTAGCCAGTTCTTTTGTCTACTTAGTTAAGACTTCTCACCTTGTGAAATTAGAAGTAAAACATTTTTTTTTTTTTTTTTTTTTTTTATCTACCAAGAAGAGAAAGAAGGCTGAAGAAAAGACTGCTCTTGCTGAAATTGCCTATCTTCCTTACTGAAAAGAAATTTTAAGCAATATGATGACTGTTCGGTGCTCAAAGCAAAAAGATCTCGATAGAAAGACATAAAACAGAAAGACATACACCAAGAACAGATGGCACTTAGTCTTCCAAAGACTGACAGTGAGGGGGGGGGGAAAGCAAAACAAAAACAAAAAAACCAAAGTTTCCCATGAAAATATTCCTGAATTAAGAGCAAGGTCTTTCGAGTAACTTCAAAACAAGGTAGGAGGTCAAGATGAAAGACATGCCTTCTAGTGTAAGGCAAAATTGTCAAAAGTAATCATGAGGTTTTTTGCAAAGCCTAGATGGAGCACCAAGGGGGGGGGGGGGGGGGAAACAAGCCCCTAGCCTGCCCTGGTGTATCTCTGATTAAAAGAGGCAGGAGGTTCTTGGTTAATTTCTGGCAGCGATCGCCATTTCACAGCACATTTAGCCCACACGGAATTGATCAATAATGCTACAGACACAAGACTAGACTATCCATTTACTAACCACAAGAAAACGTACTGTTCAGCAAAATCCTGCACAGTATAACTCTGAATTTTTAAAGACATTGTGTGTTATACAGATCTAGTTGCTCCCTCATACAGGTTACAATTACACCCTGAAAAGCAGCAGTCAAAATTCTCACACAGATAAAGGAGTTCATCTTTGCACACTGTATGAGAAAGCTAAAAACATAAACACACAGAGAGGGCTCTAGATGCATTCAGAAATACATAAACAAGTTTTAAGCGTTACATAGCTTGGGATTAGGAGCTCACAATAGCTTTTTGTAAAGCCGATGGAGCTTCAAGCTGAAATGTATCACAGTCCATCCAACCACTGGTTGCTCTCATAACAATTTCCCCCCACAAAACAAGCATGGGGATATTCTCACACTACACTTGTTTCTCATGACTAAGAGCTAGCATTAGAAACTGAACTTTCGTTGCTTTCGAGATAAAAATAACACACTTTTGTATTACAAGATAGTGATGTACTACAAGGGAGATACAGCAAAACACACAGCCTTAAGAATTACTCTGAACTCAACTTCACTTTTGCACTTAATTCTGCGTGTACATCCACACACTCACCCCTTCCCGGTGGCATAGGACCAGCTTTCGTGGCAATAATTGCGCTGAACTAACAAAGCTTCACTGAAGCTGGGGAATTCAAGACCCCAAAACATGAGATCTCAATGAAGTTAAGAACATTCAAGCTTAGTTATTCGTATTTTAAAGACACAAAACATGCTAATATCATCACCTATGACATTAGCTGATCAAATTCCTACACGTGTTTTACCTATTTTCTCTGAAACACAAGGGCTGCACGCACTCCAACTGATCATCCTGACTAATTTTTACGAGTAACAATCAAGCAGCTCCTGCCTTCAATCACTGTCATCCCCAAACATCAGTAATCCGAAAAGGAGATTTATCCTAATTCATACTAATGAACAGAGTTACCTTAAGCTTTCAAGTGGGAACCCCTACGTTTAAAGTGACAAAAGTAGGTCTTACCTGAAGAACACGAGATAAGAAAAACAGCAAACGCCAACTTAGTAGCAGCTCCCATTTTCCAATGCTGTTAAAACATTTAAGTGACTTAAAGTATCCAGTTTCCTGGGTCCTGCAAGCTGGAAAATCCCCCTTTCTGCTGAACAGCACTGAAGCAATCTGCACCAACACTGCTGAGGAGCACAATGTTCACAAAATAGTAAAATCAGATTTATTTAGACACTGACGATCTCTGTCCGGCTCTTTGCAGCAAGAATCCGGGCCCAGGGATGGATATATTTGGAACTGAGTTTCAAAACACACGTGTCATTTGGCTTCTGTACAAACGGTGGCAAAATTTAATTCATAAAAGCATGTTACGAATCCACTAAAAAAAGTCCACGATGAAGCCGCTGGCTGCTTCAGGAAAGCAAAGTCTCAGCACACGCTCTAGCTTTTTTCCACATCAACCTTGGCAGCACATCCCTCGTGGGTGCTCAGTATCGGGGAGCCGCGCTGGGATTAGTAAACACCGGATTTTCGTCCTCGCTCCCACTATGCAACATGTAGTGTTTGGGAAAAAAAAAAAATACAGTCCCACTTGAGCTTCAAGCGTCACCAGCCTTTGATGAAGGGAAGGATAAGAAGTTTTGTCAGTTCCTTTAGCAAAACTACCTTAAAAAGAAAGCGACCAGCTAGCTAAACGTGGGCGACACTTCTTTAATAATGCTGAGGGATTTAGTGTAACCCAGAAAAGGAAAAAAAAAGGGGGGGGGGGGGAGAAACAACAGTTTGATAACAAATAAGCCTCCAACCTCCTCAAAGGTGGTGAATCTCCAGTCCTGCTCCTGCGAGTCAACGCGAGCTGCACATTTCCCCGTCGCTCCCGTCTCCAGGAGCCTTTGCCTTGTCCGTGCTCGCGGATCCAAGTCAGATTTTCAAATTTCCGATTCTTTTAGGAGATCGGCGCCCTCCCCCCGCCTCCCCCTCCTCCAAGGGGCTCTATTTGGTATTTAAAGCACTGAAGAGTGACTGAAAAAAAAAAAATTTAAAAAGCAGTATCCAGCGCTGGGTAGGAGGGTGATGGAGGGAGGCTCGGTGGTGGATCCTTCCTCGCAGGGCTGCTGTTTTGGGGGAAATCCGCTTCTTTGGCAGTGCAGAGGCTGCGGGCAGCGACCGGCACGCGAGGGGAGGCAGCAGCGCTCGCGGCACGGGCGGCGGGCTCCTCTCTCCCGCTCGTGCCTCTTCTCCTGGATGTATATATACACACACGTTAAATATATATATATATGCACTCCTGTCCAAACTCCTCACGGACACATCTCTCTTTCTGTTGTTGTTGTTGCTGTTTTCCTCCTCTTTCCGCGCCTCTACCCGCCCCGCTGCCGCTGCGCGGAGAGCCTAGGCGGTCTCGCACTCGCCCCAGCTCTTGCTCGGTTCAGCAGAAGGGAAAAGGAGAGCCGCAGCGGAGCGTGCGGGCAGCGCATACATACGCGTACGCGGAGGAGAAGCGCGGCGGCCGCCGCTGCCTCCCGGCGGAGCCTCGCGCGCGGCGGCGGCGGCAGCGCAGCCCCGGCCCCGCTCGCCCCTAACTCTGCCCGCGGCTCCCTCGCGGCTCCGAGCACGAAGGCGCCGCTGGGCGCGACTCTCCCGTCTCCGCGGCGGCGGCGGCGCGGCCGAGACCAACTTTGTCCCTCCAGGAGTGCAGTTTAGGGGCTGGCGAGGAGCGGAGGCCGAGCCCGGGCTTCTCCTCGGGGCGGCGGCGGCAGGAGGCGGCTCTAGCGTCCCCCGCGTGGCGCTGGCAGCTCCGCGCGGCCCTGCGTCCCGTGCTGCGGCTGCTGCGCCCCTGTGGTAATTTCATATCTACCCATTCACTCGGGTGGCGCGGAGAACGGAGCCAAGATGGCGGCGCCCGGGCGATTGTTTTTGTTTCCTCGCCTCCTCCCCCCCTCCCCCACCCTCCCC